ATTAGTTTCACGAGGGAGGTCTTTTATCTCCACCTTACAGTTGAGGAAACAAAGCAGAGAGGTTAAGTAACTTACCTAAGGTCACACAGCCAGCCAGTAGCAGAGCTGGTATTTAGACCAGAGCCTGGCTCCAGGGTCTGTGTCCTGTTAGGCATCCTGCCTCTTCATGCCAGAAACTACGCTCCTACTGCTACTACATAATGTATATATTTAAAAACAGACTTTATTTTTAAACTTTAGTACCTGCTTAGCTTCTTCCTAAGCAATAATATCCACAAAATTATGGACTTAATTTTATATATATGCTACTGCACAAAGAAATAAACACCCAACTATTAAAAAACCTTTGGCATACACTGGTCAAAACGAAAGGGCAGGCATACAGTAGGCATTCAGTAAATGCTGCTGTCATGCTTCTTGTCCAAGCCTGAGCCGTGGGCTAAGAACCTGCTCCTCCAGGAAGCCCTCCTTGATCCCACCCCACCCTCGACTGTCCTGTGGGGACCGTCTGCTCTCTGTCCTCCTAGGGGTGTTAGCGTTGTCATTAAATCAGGTGTCTTTCTCTCCCGTCCGGGCCGGAGAGTATGAACTGCATTTTACCACCCCTTGTCTTCAGCGCCCAGTCCAGGACAAGACACCCGACAAGGATAGGCCCATGTTTACTGTGAGGATGGGGATAAAATCCTCAGCAGGGATCACGGCCAAGCAGCTCGACCTGACCCCAAGCAGCCCGGAGTTAATCATCAAATCCGAGGAGGTCACCCAAAGCTCAAGTAGGGCACAGAACATCTGCCTGGAAGGGCTGCCTGGTCCTTCCTGGACCTAACCTCCCATTTTACTTAGAGGGAAACTGAGGCACAGATGGACGTGACTAGCTCAGCTTTACCCACTGAGATGGTGACAGAGACCAGGCCAGAATGTGACCATGCCACCCTCCTGCCTACAGCCCTCCATGGCTCCCTAGTGCCCCTGGGTGAGGTCTGCATTCTGGATTGGCATAGCTTTCCTCGTGTACACAGGTTCCTGGAATGCGCCATGCTTTTGCCTTCCAGACCTTGGCACGCCGCGTTCCTGATTCCCAGCTCAGCTCTGTCTTCCCCTCCTCCCGGAAGCCTCCCAGCCCCCCAGGGCCAGGTGAGGTACCTGCTCTGGGCACCCACAGCCCTGCCCCATCATCATCTGCCAATATCTGATGATGCCGATTATAACTACTTTTCAGTGGCCTCTTGGGGATTCTTGAGGGCAAGGGACGCGCAGTTTTGTTTGAGACTAAAGATCCTGGGGCTTGACACATATAGGTATCCAGTAAATATTGGTCACATGAACAAATCAATCGCCATTATTTTTGAACAATAAATATTTGGGTTCCTGTTTTGGATGTGAAATATCGGAGATGAGGAGATGTTTCAGAAAAACATCCCTTTCTCATGTGACCGATAACGATTGTTTCTTTGTCCTTGTTTTCGTGGGACGAGCACTGGACTTGGAGATGTCTGTGTTGTAAGACAGGTGGTCCAGGGTGAGAGATAAAGGATGTTTCTCACTGGCCGGGTGGCCTTGGCCCAGTGAGTCGCCCTCTCTGAACCTCAGGTTCTTCATCTGTCAAATGGGACCAGGTCATGCGTGTGTCGCGGACAGAGCACAGCGGGGTAGTGAAGGTTGATCTAGTCCCCTTTCCCACTCCAGCTGGGAGTTGGCCCTTTAACACGGGAGGCAGGGCCAAGGCACACAGGAGGCTGCCGGGAGCTGGGCAGAGTTGGTGCCAGGTTAGGCTGGCGGGTAGCAGGTTGTGGCCAAGCTGGTCTAGGGACTGTTGGGCAGAAAGGTAAGGGAGCCTGGAGCTCAAATGAGACCCCTGGGGCTCTGCGTGTGTGTGTAAATGTGCCTGTAGAGTAGTCTGGAAAGTTCTGGGCTGAGTGGATGGAAGGTGAGAGAGGGTGGCCTAAGTCCTTTCAAAAATATTGACTCAGGGCGCCCAGCCTGCCTTGCAGAAGAAGGGGGGCAGGTTCTACTTGCCAGAGGGGCAGGGCTGGGTGTCCTGCCAGCCACAGGCAGCCTGGGCGCCAGGGATCTGGCTGAGGAATGTCACCCAGGTGGCCTCTGGGGAAAAGCCAAAGGGATAAGGGAAGTGCAAAGGTAACTGATCTTTACCCAATTCATGGATGTGGCAGGTGAGACATAGTGATGAAAAGTGACTAGGCCAAGGTCATGTGTGCTGAGACCTGACCTCAAGCCCCAGGCTGCCCACTGCATTGCTCCCCAGCTGACAGGGACCAGGGCTCCTACCTCAGCCCCAGTAACTGCCACTACGTGTCGCTAGGCCAAGGCCTCGGGTTGGCCCCGGACTTCGGTCTAAGAGGACTGTACCCTTATCTGGGCTTGATAAAGGCAACTTGGGGCCTGTTCATTTGACAGATGCCTGAGTCCTCTTGTGGGAAGTTGGTATAACCAAGAGAGGAGGGGGAACCTGGGTACTGAGCCGGGAGCATTTGGCTCCTAAGGACCACAGGCCATTAAGTATCAAATGCTCACACCTTTAAAATAATAATAATAATAGAATTCCGAGGTCAGAATCTGGCTCTTAATCATTTCATTAGGAAATGCTCACCTTTAAAATAATAATAATAATAATAATAATAATAATAATAATAATACTACAATGGAGAAAGTATAGCATGGTGGTTATAAGTACAGATGCCAAAGTGCATTGCCTGTGTTCGAATCCCGGCTGTGCCAGTAGGAGGAGCGCTACATCCTCCCCCACCCGGCTGTGTGACCTTGGACCAGTTACTTAGCCTCTCTGGGCCTCGGTTTCCACATCTATAACATGGAGTTAACAATTGAACCTATCTCAGAGTGGTTGTGAGGATTATAGGAGATACTATATAAGGCACTTGGTACATTGCCTGGCTCACAGTAAGTGCTACACAGCCAATAATAACTGTTATTATAATGTGCCAGGCGCAGACCTGACGCCTTTACTATGTGGCCTTACTTCATCCTCACGACCATCCTGTGAGGCACAAGCTCTTCTTCCGGGTCGTTGTGTAGTCAGTTCATTCTCACTTTTCGGGTGTCAGTTATAATGGTCACCGTCCCCAAGAGGCCTTTCTCGACCTCCCTACCCAAAGTAGGTCCCTTTGTTCTTCTCTTCAAGACTTCCTACATGCATGTTTCCCTCTTAACAGTTTTCACCATTTCTGATTAGTTTGTTTGTCTATACAGTTATTCGTTGAATGCTGATCTCTCCATCAGACTATAAGTCAGCTCCAAGAGTAGATGTCTGTCCTGTTTGTCTCGTTCTTGTGGTATCTTCAGTTCCTAGTTCAGGTCCTGTACCTTGGAGGTGCCCTATAAAAGTGCCAGCCTTGTTAGAAGCTCCCAATGTGATAACACCTCCAGAGGACTCAGCAGATGTTTGGCACATAATAGAGACTCAACAAAGGATAACTATTATAGTTATTAATCTGCACCCTAACCTGTTATTATTCCCATTTTACAGATGTGAAACAGGCATAGAGAGGTTGAGACACTTGTCTGGGAAGTGTCTCAACCGGGAAGTCATAGCTGGTCTCCAGCTTGGTCTCTGATTGGCCCCAAAGCCCACATGCAGGATGTGCCGTCCGCTGGGCTCTGGGGTTGAGGCGAGGCCTGTGCGGGGGTATGCTGGGTTCGAGGCTGCTCTCCCCCACTGCCAGCCAGAGAAGTGCCCTGGTTGGAACTGGGCAGAGGTGGCTTAGGCTTGGCCCTGTCTGGGGAATCCCAGGACCATCCCAACAAGGACAGGGGGTCAAACCCAAGGGCAGGAGGCCTGGAACCATCCCAACAGGGGTGGGTGTGGGGGTGTGGACCCCAGCGGGGAGGAAGGATGGACAAGAAGCTTGGGCTTGTAGTGGGTGGGGGAGGATGTAGCGCTCCTCCTACTGGCAAATAGTAGAACTGCAGGGGGCAACCCAATGTTTTTCTGCCCCTAAGACAAAAGAGGGGCTGCATTTGCTCCTTTAAAAAAAAAATAAATAAATAAATCCTGTTTTTCCTCCCTCTTATTTCCTCCCTCTCTTCTCACCCTGACCCACTGTGTGTTCGCTACTCACCCACGCCTTGCTTTAAAACCTCCCGTTGCTTCCCACTGCCGGTATAATTATAATAAGGTCCCAACTCTTCCCTGTGGGCTGGCACGCCCCTGGCACGGCCCCGCCCACCTCTTGCTTCTGCGCCGGAATCCCCTCTCCCGCCCCTGCAACCCCTAAGTTCATTTCTAGATCAGGGTGGTTCTCTCTGCTGTTCCCGCTGGAGGAATGCTTTGCCCTTAGCTTGCTTCTTGTCGTTCATCTCAGAGTTTCCGCTTTGAGAACTTCCCGATCAAAAGAGAACTAAAAATGGCATCTTGCTTCCTGGCAATGTTGTCAGTTTGGCTCAAAGAAACTCTTATAAAAAGTCAAAAAAAAAAAAAAAAAAAAAAAGAACGAAGAGACCTTTCAACCAACAAAAATGAAAATGCGCAGGTCCGATATGCATCCTGATTCAAACTGTTAAAAACACCAAACCACCACCAGCCGCCAAAACGACTGTTTATCACATTTAATGAAACAACTGGGCATCTGACACTTAACAGTATTTGATAATATTAAGAAATTATTATTAATATTTTAAGCGTGGTAAGGGTTTTGGGATTACGTTTTTAAAAATTAGCATTATTGAGGTATAATCTACACCACATGTTGGCCGTGTTCTACACCCCTGGCACTGTGGGTGGCCACAGTGACAGAACGAAAGGGCCCCTAATCCATACCGCCTTGTCCACATGGGGAAACTGAGGCCCAGAGAGGAGCCAACACTTGCCCGGAGTCTCACAGGTTGGCAGCCAGTTGGGGTACGTGAGCCAAGCTGAGGGGCTTCTCCACCTTCCCCCTCCAGCCCAGGTTAAGGGGACTCTTGGCTGGAGCTGCCTGGGCTATGACGTTCATGTCCCCCGGCAGGCTCGCTAGGCGGTTGCTGGAATGGAGGCCTCTCTGGCAGAGCACGCTAAGGCGAAGCACTTCCACACAGTCACACCGCTGCTGGAGAGCTGGGCACTGTCCCAGGTGGCAGGCACGACTGTCTTCCTCAAGTGTGAGAACGTGCAGCCCGCTGGCTCCTTCAAGATCCGCGGCATCGGGCATTTCTGCCAGGAGGTGAGGGTGTGTGGGCAGCAGGGAGGGGAGGGGCGAAGGGTGTGAGCGGATGGGGCAAGGGCAGGAGGGGTGAAGTGAGCTTGCGCAGATGGGAGGAGAGAGCTGAGGGGCGAGGAGTGTTGGGGTGGGGTGGGGAGCGTCTGACTCCATCCCCCACAGGCCTCCATGACACCTGCTTGCGGTAGCCCCCAACCCCATTCCTTCTCTTCCCAGGCGGCCAAGAAGGGCTGCAGACACCTGGTGTGCTCGTCAGGTGAGCTGACCCATCTCTGCTTCGTGAGGGTTCTCAGGGCTGGGTGTAGGGGAGGAGGAGCTGGCTGGAGCGGCAGTAGACGCCCAGGGCCTGGCCTCCTCTTAAAGGCCACGGTCAGGTGCCCGTTTTGTATGTCCTCTCTCAGCCCTCTTCTCAACATTTAGGACTCATGGTAGAAGTGGCGGAAACCCAGTTCATACAGGTTTAAGCTACAGGCTCCAGGAACTGAAAATTCTTGGGATGGCGGCTTTCAGGCACGGGCAGATCCAGAAGCAATCTTCTGTGTGTCTCCTCTGGCCTTTCTGCCCTGTATACTAGCTTTATTCTAGACTGGCCTCATGCTAGCAAGGTGGCTGTCAGGAGTTGCAGGCTTGCCTCCTACCATCTTACCAGCCCTAGCGGAAAGGGAGCACCCCTTCTCGATGGCTCTCCTCAATCCACAGGTTGATCTTTTTGGCCCAGCTTGGGTCATGTACTCATCATTCCTGAGCCACTCACGGGTCAGGCGACTGAGTTCTCTGATTGGCTTAATTTAGATCACGTGTCCACCTCTGGGGCCGGGGAGAAGTCGTCTCCCTCTGGTGGGTCATGTGAATGTGGTGAAGGGCAACCCCCAAAGGGAAAGGGAGGGGGAGGGGGAAAGGCGTGTCGACGGGCCTGTGCCACACGGCCCACGGCACCCCCTCTGCTGCCTCCACAGGGGGCAACGCGGGCATTGCTGCCGCCTACTCTGCTCAGAGGCTGGGCATCCCCGCCACCATCGTGCTCCCTGAGGGCACCTCCCTGAAGGTGGTGAAGAGGCTTCAGGGGGAGGGAGCCGAGGTTCAGCTGTCTGGAAAGGTAAGGACTCCGGCTCGGGGAAGCCGGCTGGAGTGGGCTCTGCCCAATTCCCTCCCGCCTCACAAGATCATCTCCTTCCCCTTCCGAGGAACTATGCCTGGCGCCCGGTCTTAGGATGTCTGAGCTTGAGGGCTGGGCCCTCCTGACTTGCCTCTCCCCACCCCGAGAAGACTCCCCCTCCATGAAATCGGGAGAGACAGGACCGGGAGCATGCCTGTCTCCCTGCAACCTCGCTAACGCTTGGTATTACCCACTTAAAATTTTTTGCCAGTCGATGAAACATAAAGCGAAAGATGATGGCGCTGATGTTTCCTGTCTTGAGACCACCCCAGTATGGAAGGGGCCCACTGGTGAGGCTGTCACTACTTCACCTGTCACCAAAAGCAACAGAGACACAAACATGTAGTCCTTCTATCCTCCTGGAAAGAAGAGAAAAAATGCATTCCTGGAAGATGATTTTCTTAACATCATCGAAATTAAAATGAAAAGACATACCATGGTACCCAAAAGCTGGTTTCCAAATATTTTATATATACAGTTTCTTTCCTTTCCTTTCTCCTTCCTTCCTTCATGTTCTATTCATACATTCAACCATCCTCTCCTCCATCATCTTTTCTCCCTCCTCTCTCCCATCCATCCATCCATCCATCCATCCATCTATCTATCTATCTATCTATCTATCTATCTATCTATCTATCTATCATCTATCTGTCTATCTGTCTCTATCA